GGCCCTGGGACTCTGCTCCCACCCGACCCCTGGGGCCTTCTGTGTCCCTGACTCTGCTGCTCTTCCCAGTGTCCCGTCTGCACTGTGAGAGCGAGTCCTTCAAGATGGATCTCATCCTGGATGTGAACATCCAGATCTACCCTGTGGACCTCGGTAAGTCGTCAGGGTGCTGGTCCAGGGTGTGCCAGGCCTGAGCCAGCGTCAGCTCGGGTGGGTGAGGTTACAGAGGTGCATGAGGTGCTTGGAGGAGGGAGGTGGAGTTTAGTGTGAACAGGTGACAGTGTCTCAGGCTTCCCTGGCCCCCTGTACGGTCCCCAGGTCACAGGAGGTGCTGGGTGTGCTGGGGCTGAGCTGGATTCTGGTTCACCTCACTGTATTTGTTTGGTCTCATTTCTGTCCCACCCCCCAGAGGTGCTGAGTAGTGAAGGTGCCTCAGCTGGTGGCAGCCAGACTCCAAGGGAGACCTCACGTTTCTGTGGCTAAGCACACTGAACGGGTGGAACAGAGAGTGCTGCCCTCAGGAGCACAGGAGGTCTGGAGGCCGTGCTGCAGGGTTTCATGTACCTGCTCGAGGGCCAGACAAGGCCTCTAGGACTCTCCCTACAAGTTTCTTGCTGTGTCCCATGGAAACACCAGCAGTGGTGTCCTGGTGGCTCTGGTATTCTCTGTGATGGTGACCAGTGTCTGTGGGGAACAGAGCGACAGAGGATCCAGTGGGATCTTCTCTTGTTCCCCACGATCCTGCTGGAGAGCTGAAGGCAGGGACAGGGTTTGTGCTAAACCTGTGGGGCGGTTCCTTGCCACCACCCTGAGATCTGCTGCAGCCACTGCTGCTCTGGCTGTGCCTCCCACCTTTGCTCCTCTGCCCTCTCCTCCCAGGGGACAAATTCCGCCTGGTCATCGCCAGCACCTTGTACGAAGACGGCACCCTGGATGACGGCGAGTACAACCCCACAGACGACAGGCCGTCCAGGTACGGGGCTCCAGCTGGGGCGGGTGAGGGAAAAGGTGAAGTCCTGAGGGGCTGTGAGGTGCCTTCTCCCAGAGGCTGCTCAGAGGGGGAGCACCCGGGCTTGGCTCCTCTCTGAATTTTTTCCCGGGCTTCGCTCCTCTCTGAACCCCCGCCATCCCGCCGCAGGGCCGACCAGTTCGAGTACGTGATGTACGGCAAGGTGTACCGGATCGAGGGGGACGAGACCTCCACCGAGGCAGCCACGCGCCTGTGAGTGCCTGCTGGGGGGACACGGTGCCCCGGGGTGCTGTGGGGTCTCCCGTGGGATTCCCCCCTCTCACTGCTCCTCTCCTCCCACCCCAGCTCTGCCTACGTGTCCTACGGGGGGCTGCTCATGCGGCTGCAGGGAGACGCAAACAACCTGCACGGGTTTGAAGTGGACTCTCGAGTTTACCTGCTGATGAAGAAGTTGGCCTTCTAGGAGACCTCCTGCCTCCCTGGACTGCCCTAGAGACATTCTGCTGGCGGGCAAACCAGAGCCCTGTTCCCCCACATCCTGCCCCAGCTGGATC